TTAATGAAGTAGCTTGAATAGATAAAATAAATATAAAACCTGTGTATCAGTCATCTGTTGCTGCACAGAAAGTTCATCCAGCCATAAGGACCTAAAACTACCATTTGATTTTGCTAATTATTTTGTGGGTCAAATTTTAGGAAGTCCTCACTGAGTAGTTCTCATTTGGGACCTTGCATGCAGTTGAATCACATGTTACTCAGGGCTATAGTCACCTGAAGGTTCATCTGTACTGGATGTCCAAGATGTCTCATTCATGTGGCTGGCCTTGAAGGCAATTTGCTAATTTTGCTCAGCTACGGCTGTGGATGTCACCAGCACAAGGGTCTCAGGATGCTCGGACACATCACATGACAACTAAGTTCTCCCAGACCTAGTTTCCTCAAAGAACCTGTGGAAGATATGTTATCTTTTCTGACTTAGCCTCAGAAGTCAATCAGCATTATTTCTGCCCAGATTCAAGGGGGCATAGCCTCTACCTGTTGGTGGGGAAGTAGCAATGTCATAATGTAGATGATATATGAGAAAATATTTTGGTGGGCACCTTTAAAAAGTACAGTCTACCACAACTGCTATGCAAAAAAACCAAAATATTCACAAATATTCAAGAATATACAAACAAATGCAAGAATATCCAATATTCACAGGCAGGAAAAGTAGGTATTATAAAGATTTTTATTTTCTCTAAATAGATCTATAAACCCAATATGGTTCCCAAATACCCCCCAAAATTATGTATAGACTTTGAAAAGTCTATACCAAATTATATGGAAGACTAAAGAGCCAATTATAACCAAAACAGTACTATACTATCAGATATCAAACTTTAACTTAAAGCTGTCAAAATGAAGGTAGTGTGGAGCTCAGTGCAGAAACAGACTGATAATTGGAATAGGACACAGAAAGATCAGAGACAGACCCATACATACAAAGGATTGTAATATGTTTCAAAAATAGCACCACAGAACTCAGTTAACAATGAAACGAATAGCTTTTCAAGTAGAATAAAATGAAATTTTATTTATGCCTACAACATACCATCAATTCCAGATTTTTAATTAAAGACTTGAATATTTAAAGCAGAACATTTAAAATATTCAATAGAAATATAGGAAAATATCCTTCTTGATGTTAGGATCAAAGTGCCTTGAATAAGATAGCCATAAAAGAAAAGGTTAAGAAATTAGATTACATTTAAATGAAGAACTCATTTTTATCAAAAGATACCATAATGAAAGTGAAGAGAGTTCTTACTACATGAATCTAATAACAATAAATTGAGAAAACTTATAGAAATTGTTCATAACTATAAAAAATAGCATACATATTATCAAAGAATAAGCCTACATACAAAATCCAGAGGGAACACTAATAAAACTAATTAAATACCTATATCTATCAGTTTTGATCTCACTATTTTAATGTCACATGTTAATTTTTTGTGCTAGTTGGAGATCAATAATATAAATTCGTGTTTTTTAATCAGTAAATAGATACTTTAATAATTGCCAAAGTCTCAAGTACATCATGATTTTCAGTGACACATTATATAGCGAAGATAGTAAGAAATCCAAGTCATAATAATCTCATTAACATGAACATGCTGACCCCTCCCACTCCACGCCATTGTGGCTGGAGGTCTTATAAATCTTGCTTTTAAACCTTTAAAAAAAAAAAAAACATTAACATGCTCAGTACCATTCAATAAACACTGAAGCTTGCTGGACACCAGATGTTGTAGAAAACACAAATAGTAGAGACATAGTCCCTACTCTTTAGGCCTATAATCTGGTTAGCAAGTACCAAATTACATATTCAGAGAAATAAGTCAAATTTCCATCTAAATTTTAAACCAATCTGCTTTTGTCCATCTTAGATATCTCTTAGTCACTAATATCTATTTTCTGGAGCTCTGTAATCTTTCCTAATGATCCTTTGCATTCATTTTATTTTGTCCCAACCTATTCACTATATTTGATATAATCCTTTTTGAAATTCAAGGGGACCACACATGAATTCTTTGCAAAAACTGACTCCAGATTCAGAAACACCAGGCACAGGGCTACAACCAGGAATTTGTATGAAAGTCTATACTGAACCTTCACTTAAATCTGCCTCCATACTCTGCAGTACGGGGAGAACAAGGATTCTTCTTTAGAGAAATAAGTCAGAATAACCCCAGATACTGACGTTTGGAGATTCCCCCAAAGGAAGTGCCAGCTTGCGAAAGCACATTTAAGTGAAGCCTAACAGAAGACGTGCAATCAGCTTTTTAGTGTCTGAGAAAAACAGAAGCTATTACATGCATAGACAACATGCCATGAAAAAAAGGAAATGTGAACAAGAAAAAGCTCCTTTAATTGTGAATTAAATATCACAATAATAGAAATAAATAATTCAGTAGAAAGAGTTGAAGATAAAGCTTTAAAAATCTCAGAAAATAGAAAATTAGACAAGCAAAGTAAGGGTTCCAACATATAGTAAAACAGGGATTTAGTTAAACTGCTTCAACAAATGCCTGGATAGTAAATAGCTTAGATTTTGCAGTCTAATTTCTGTCAACTATTCAATGCTGCCATGATCGTGTGAAAGCAGCCAAAGAAATATGAAAATAAATGGGACAAACGGATATGGGCTGTGAGAGAAGATGCAAAAGAATAAGTAATCAGGCCGGTGCCATGGCTCAATAGGCTAATCCTCCACCTAGCGGCGCTGGCACACCGGGTTCTAGTCCCGGTCGGGGCACCAGATTCTTTCCCGGTTGCCTCTCTTCCAGGCCAGCTCTCTGATGTGGCCTGGGAAGGCAGTGGAGGATGGCCCAAGTGCTTGGGCCCTGCACCCCATGGGAGACCAGGAGAAGCACCTGGCTCCTGCCTTCGGATCAGCGCAGTGCGCCAGCCGTGGCGGCCATTGGAGGCTGAACCAACGGCAAAAGGAAGACCTTTCTCTGTCGCTCTCTCTCACTATCCACTCTGTCAAAAAATAAATAAATAAATAAATAAATAATCAAAGAAAAGTTTAAGAAAATTTCCCAGAATCACATATGAATTTTTAGATTGAGAGAGTCTGACACAATGCATATTACTGTCAAATTTTAGAATACCAGGGATGAACAGATCATAAAAGCTCTTGAAGAGAAAAAAAAAAAAAAAAGGCCAAAGTTGTCACAAAGCAGGCAGGTTAAAAACCTGGCAGTTCCATTTCTGATCCAGCTCCCTGCTAACACACCTGTGAAAAGTAGTGGAAAATGATGCAAGTCCTTGGGCCCCTGCACCCATATATAGTATACCTAAAGCTCCTGTCTCCTGGCTTTGGACTGGCCCAGCTCTGGCCACTGCAGCCATTTGGTGAGTAAACAGCAGATGGAAGATACCTCTTTCTCTCTGTGTCTCTCCCTCTCTCTATAATCTCTGCCTTTCAAATAAATCTTAAAAAAAAAAAAAAAAAATGGGTCCTACCCTAATCAAAAGGTACCAGCTTTTTAAGAGCAACACACACACACACACACACACACACACACACAGGGTTAGGGTTTCTACACAAGTAGAAAGCCTTCAATATTGAAAAAGAATTCTCTCTCCACCCCCAAAGATTTATTTTATTTATTTGAAAGGTACAGTGACACAGAGAGTGAGAGACAGAGAGAGAAAGAGATTTTTCATCTGCTGGTTCACTCCCCAAATGGCCAAAGGCCGGAGCTGGGCCAGACCACGGCCAGGTATCGAGGCCTGCATCTGGGTCCCCCATGGTGGGGCAGGGTCTCAAATACTTGGGCCATCCTCTACTACTTTCCCAGGCATGTGAGCCGGAACTGGGTCAGAAGCGGAGCAGCCAGGACTCAGAACTGGCACCCCAATATGGGATGCCAGCATCATGATCAGCAGCTTAACCCTCTACACCATAATACCAGCCCTGAAAAAAGTTTTTTTAAAATAAACTTTTAATTTCAGAATAGTTTTAAATTTACAAAACAAAAATTGTGGAGTAGTATAGAACTCCCTTATACCCCACATCTCTTTCTTCATAAATAAAGATACCTTCTGTGTCTAAAAAAAAAAAGCCTTTATTTTCCTTTAACATGGGATAACCATTCTAATTGTGACAAATATATCATATTAATATGAGATGTTAATAACAGGAATAACAGGGAAGCTGGGTGTGGTTTATTAAATGTGACAACTATATCATACTGACATATATGCTTATGCAATATATTTAATATTTATATTATATAAATACATACATATACCTATATATGTGTGTGTATAATACACACACACACACACACACATATATATGTATATATATATATATATATTTGAGCCTTCATCTGCTTCCTTCTCAAGGTGCACATTAGCAGGAAGCTGGGTTAGAAGTGGAGGTGGAGCTATTTCCTAAGCACTAGGATGTAGGATGTAGGTGCCCCAAATGGCAGCTTAACTGCCACAATCCCTACCCCCAAATTTATTCTTCCTAAGAAAGCAAATAACTAACCAAGAATGTTTATAATGCATATTATGGACAGAAGACCAGTATCTTTCAAACTTTAAGGAGATAAGATATCAACACAATATATACAAGGAACAGGAACAGATAACTAACAAAAGCAATATTACTACCCAAGTTAAGTGTGGAAAAACTCTCACCCTTCAAAATAATGTTTAAAAATCCAGACTGAAGCAACAAAATAGTATTATTTTAACTACTAGTTAGCAAAAATATGAGAAGTGGGTAATACTACTATTAGTAAGGTTATTGGAAAATGCATTAATTGTGAGAATGTAAGTAGTATTATTTCTCAAGGAAAATTTTATATGTGAAACAAAACTTTAAAATATACCCATAATTTTGTTTCAACAATTCCTGCTAAAAATGCAACCTTAAGGAAAGAGTAAGAAATATATATAAAAGTATTCAGCTGTGAAGATATTTTTGTAGCAAAATTTTCTAAAGGCTGTCTTTTTCATGTTAATTTACCAGAAACACTATAATAGCCTTACCTGAACTGTACGCCCCGCATTGATATGTTCTTCGTGCAACTTGTCCCAGATTCTGCACCTTTGATACTACACAAAAGAAGACAGGGAAAAGTATTGAATTTTTTCATCACAAAAGGGTTTTTTTTCCAATAATCAAAAAAATCAGCAGTCACCTACCCAAAATTAAATAGAACAGCTACATAACATAGTGATTTAGTAGTGATAGTTAACTTTCCAATGACCACAAAAGTAGGATATTTTCAAGAATATTACATGCAAAATTCTGGAAATAGTAAAACGAATAATCAAAACAATGCAATGTATTTGGGTTACTTTATTTTGCTAAAAAAATAATATTGCAAACTCTCTAGAGATTGAAAATATAAATTAAAGAATGAGAATGTAAGGATGTAAAAAACAAGATTAATAGTATTCATAAGATTTTCTAATTATATATGACAAATTACAAACATTTGTCAATGACAGGGTAAGTACTGAAAAACTGTAATCTGAATTTGGAAAAAATGACACTGCAGACTAGAAAGTAAATAAAATGAGACTAAGTTGTTAATATATGTTTCATTTTTTTTACCAAGGCAAAATTTAGCTTTCAGAGTATTGTCCAAAAATTTTATGAGCATAATAATGGAATTTTTTTCATTTGACAGGAATCATAAGAAAATGTGATAACATTATAGCAGAGCATTTATAGAAAATGTAAACATCAGCATCACATATCATATTATCTCTGGCTGAAATTAAAAATCCAAATAATAAAAATGTCAGCAGATGTGAATAATGACATCACACATATTTTTGATATACTATGTACCAAAATAAAATCAATCTGAAATAATTTGAAAGGATATAATATGGAAATGCCCCATATATGCATGAGAGATAGGATGAATTATAAGTGGAGAGTGCTGAAAAAAAATCTCTAGGGTATTCTTTTTTTTTTTTTTTTTTTTTTTTTTGACAGGCAGAGTGGACAGTGAGAGAGACAGAGAGAAAGGTCTTACTTTTCCATTGGTTCACCCTCCAATGGCCGCTACGGCCGGTGTGCTGCAGCCAGCGCACCGCGCTGATCCGAAGGCAGGAGCCAGGTGCTTCTCCTGGTCTCCCATGGGGTGCAGGGCCCAAGCACTTGGGCCATCCTCCAGTGCACTCCCTGGCCACAGCAGAGAGCTGGCCTGGAAAAGGGGCAACCGGGACAGAATCCGGCGCCCTGACCGGGACTAGAACCCGGTGTGCCGGCGCCACAAGGCAGAGGATTAGCCTAGTGAGCCACAGCGCCAGCCTAGAAAAATATATTTATCAAACATAAAAATTAAAACCACTATCAAACCACTTTTATTTATAGGAACAATTGAATTGATGCCATCATATCCAAAATGAATGCTCTTTAGATAGCTGTAACATTAATAAAAATTTGAAAATGAAAATCATGGTATTTTAAGAAAAATCAACATTAAAGAAACAGACTAAGAATCGATGGAGATCAATGCTGCTGAATTTATTAGCAGAGTGACAGAGAGGAAACTGGCATGGAGAAGAGATGACACTGAGAGAAGAGGGTGCTAAAAGAGAACTGCAGAGATTTCCAGGGTTTTTCTTTTAAGCCTCCAACTAAGTACTGATCAGCACTTTCATATGAAGAAACCACCTGGTCAGAAAAAGAACCACTGAAAAACAAGTGGAATAATCCCTGAAGATCACACAGAGCCAAAACAGTTCAGGTGACCACAATCAAAGTGGAAAACTTTACAATACAATCACAGGTAGAATATCCAAAGTATTGTGCAGAAAAATCAGCCGTGGGGGCCGGAGATATGGCATAGTGGGATAAGCTGCTGCCTGCAGTGCCAGCATCTCATATGGGCACCAGTTTGAGTCCGGCTGCTCCACTTCTGATCCAGCTTTCTGCTATGGCCTGGGAAAGCAGCAGATGATGGCCCAAGTCCTTAGGCCCCTGCACCCGTGTGGGAGACCCCGAAGAAGCTCCTGGCTCCTGGCTTCAAATAGACTCAGCTCCAACCATTGTGGCCATTTGGGGAGTGGACCAGTGGATAGAAGATCTCTCTCCCTTTCCCTCTGCCTTTGCCTCTCTGTAACTCTGCCTTTCAAATAAAATTAAATAAATCTTTTTTAAAAAGAAAAAAATAATCAGCTGTGAACTAAAGGTTGTTTTGATCCTACACAAGAAAGCATAAAGAAAGCTTCAAGAGAATCAAACTATCCCCAAGAAACTGTGCTAAGATAAAGCTAAAAATATTTAAATAGAAAATTAATATAAAAGTATTCAAGGGGCCAGCCTTGTGGCATAGTGGCACCTATAATGCCAGCATCCCATGCCACTTCGAGTATCAGCTGCTCTACTTCCGATCCAGCTCCCTGATAATGCCCTGTGAAAAGCAATGGAAGATGGCCCAAGTGCTTGTCCCTCCCATATGGGAGACCTGGATGAAGCTCCTGGCTCCTGACTGGCTCAGTCCAGCCCCAGACATTGGGGCCAGCTGTCTCTCCCTCTCTCTCTGTAACTTAGACATTGAAATAAATAAATAAATCTTTTTTTACAAAATGTACTCAAAAAAACTCAGCACCTAGCAAAGTAGTTTCACAATGTCTGGCATATAATAAGCAATTATCATGTATGCAAAAAAGTGAAATGATCTGCATTGCAAAAAAATCAATCAATAGAAACAGAGCAAGATATGATAAAGATTATGGGTTTAATAAATAAAGGATATTAAAAAGCCATGTTGTGGCCAGCGCCGGGGCTCACTAGGCTAATCCTCTGCCTTGCGGTGCTGGCACACCGGGTTCTAGTCCCGGTCGGGGCGCCGGATTCTGTCCCGGTTGCCCCTCTTCCAGGCCAGCTCTCTGCTGTGGCCAGGGAGTGCACTGGAGGATGGCCCAAGTGCTTGGGCCCTGCACCCCATGGGAGACCAGGATAAGTGCCTGGCTCCTGGCTTCGGATCAGCGCGGGCGCCGGACGCAGCGCACCAGCGGCGGCGGCCATTGGAGGGTGAACCAACGGCAAAAGGAAGACCTTTCTCTCTCTCTCTCTCTCTCACTGTCCACTCTGCCTGTCAAAAAAAAAAAAATAAATAATAAGCCATGTTGTACTCAATATATTCATGAAGACAGAAAAAAAATTAGTATACTACGAAACATACATGCTTACTATTGTTAAAATTTATTATTCGATAGGTAGAGAGCCAGGTTTGGAGAGGGGAGAGCAGGGAGAGAAAGAGATAATGCTCCTATCTGCTGGTTCATTCCCTAAATGCCTGCAATGGCTGGGGCTGGTCCAAGGCTGAACCTGGGCACTTAGAATGCAAGCTAGGCCTCACACATGAGTGGCAGGAACCCAACTATTCGAGCCATCATCACTGCCTTCTAGGACCTGCACTGGCAGGAAGTGGGGTTAGGAGTTGGAGCCAGGAATCGAACCCATGTTTTCTGATATGGTATGTGGGTGTTTTAATGTGCTAAATATCTACTCTACAAGATACTCTACAATATTAAATTCATAGAGTGAGAAAAGAGGAGCTGGAATGAAAAGTGCATTGGATGTGATTATTAGCACATAAGACAATGCAGAAGAAAGGATTAGTAAAGACAAAGCAATAGAAATGATACAGAATGAAACACACAGAAAAACAGATTGAAAATAAATAACATCAATGAGTCATGGACTAAACAAAAATAACATAGTATACAAAATATTAGACTTGCTAATGGACAGGAGAGAGGAGCCTGGAAAAAATTGAAAAAAAATTAATGGTCCAAGTTTTTCCAAATTTGATAAAAATGATAAATCTATAGATCCAAGAAGTTCAAAGAACAAGAAAAGTGAAGAAAACTATGTTAACATGCATCATAATCTCCTGATACCCACGTAGGAGACCTGGATAAAACTCCTAGCCCCTGGCTTTAGCCTGACCCAGCCCTGGCCTGGGGAGTGAATCAGCAGATGAAAGATCTCTCAATCTCTCTTTCTCTCTAACTCCAATTGTCAAATAAATAAATAAATAAATATTTGAGGAAAAAAGTAAATAAAAAGAATTACTTAAAATAATTAACAAAAAAATCTTAAAGCAGCTAGAGCAGATGGTGTTTGGCCTAGCAATTAAGATACTTGCATTGCATACTGGGGTATCTGGATTCAATACCTGGCTCTGACTGTGGTGGAGCCTGGGATAGTAGCAGTGATGGTTCAAGTGACTGGGTTCTGCCATGCACAGGGGAAACCTGGATTGAGTTCTGTCGCTCCCCCTCTTCACGGAGGAACGACACAGGACCCTGCGCTGTTCTTTTGTCTGCTCGGCCCTCCCCGGGTTTGCTGCTGGTTCTTCCCGGGTTGGCTACCAACCCTTCCACCTCCGTGGAAGGGCGGTTCCCCCTGGCCACTTTCCCCACTTCCGTGGGGGAGCGGCACACCGCCGGCCGGCTCTCTCGGGGGCTGCACAGGTGTTCCTTCAGATAGATGTTCCTGATGCATGTTGTCTCTCTCCTCCTTTATAGTCCTCTTCCACCAATCCCAACTCGGCTGCCCACACGCCGAGTACGCTGCTCTCCTCCAATCAGGAGCAGGTCCTACAGTTTATTGGTTGAACTGGAGCCAGCTGTGTAGAAGCTGTTACTCCCTTCTCAGCGCCATATTGTGGGAGAGCAGATGCATAGAATAAGTCTTAATTCCAGTAACAGTCTAGTCCGAGTTGCTCCCCACAAGTTCCTTACTCCTGACTTTGGCCCAGGCCGATGTCAGCCATTATGGGCATTTGGAGGTGAACCAGCAGATGGGAATGCTCTCTGTTTCTCTGACTCTTAAATTAAAAAAAATTAATTATTTTTAAATAATTATTTTTAAAAAGCAACCAGAAGGAAAATATATAAATGTATATGTTATACACACAGACACACACACACATATAAAGTACAGCAGAACAAAGATAATGATACAAGGTTTTTTCTGAGAAACAGTGCAAGCTAGAAGACAGTGGAACAATATCCTGAAAGTATCATAAAACAACAGAAAAGTCAAGCTAGAATTTCATATGTAGAAAAATATTTTTAAATTA